GAGGAGGAGGAGGAGAAAGAAAGAAAAAGAAAGAAAGAAAGAAAGAAAGAAAGAAAGAAAGAAAGAAAGAAAGAAAAGAACAGAAAGTATAGCTGCAAATTAGATTAAACGAGTTCTTTGACTAATAGGCTACTTCCAAGTTCCTTCTAAAATTCAAGGCAGGCAAGATCTGGCTGGCAAAAATCATCTTACCTAGTATAACATAGATATTTTGTGGCTACTTCACACATACTCATTTTTAAAGGACACAGTAGCTGCCCCAGACAGGCTCCTGTAAAGGCTCTTAAGGATCTAAAATGAACTATATTGTTTCCTGAGGTTTTCTGCAGCTCTGTGATTTTTGCCAAATAACAAACTACTCAAAAAGGATGTCCCATCTTACTGACAGGGGCTGGGGTGGGGAGTGGGGGAAGGTGACTGGTAACAGACACAGGGACAGCTTTTTGAGGGTAACATTTTGAAGTGGGATACTAGTGACACACAATCTGTGACATACTATAGACCACTGACACTGTAAAAGGCTAGATCCCATGATGTGTGAGTTATAGCTCAATAGATACATTTATTTATTTATTTATTTATTTATTTATTTATTTACTTACTTATTTATTTAGCGGTACCAGCGCTTGAACTCAGGACCTTGATGTTTGCCAGGCAAGTGTTTATTCTACTGAGCTATCTCTCTGGCCCAATAGAAACACTTTTAAAACAATATTCTACCTCCATTTTTGCTGATATTACAATATGAACCTTCATTAAAATAGTCTCTTATTTAAGAGCTATGAGTATTTTACACTATAGTTCAATTCAAATGTCACTCTCTGGTTCATAACACAATGTACCTGTTAAGCAATGGCCTCTTAAGCAATTCCCTGCTGAAAATATTTTGGCCAGATATAATTCTAAATTATTTATTTGATTCTATTTAATTAAATGGAGATCATTTATTGGCAATTTGTAATAATGACAAAAAATTAGAAAATTCTGAATGGATGTGGCTTGCAGTACATTACCACTGGATTTCACTTTGTCTCAACATTTTTGATTTTGTAATTGTTGCCAATAAAATCCTCGTATCCAATATCTCAAGCTAGCTAGGAATCTTAGTCTCAGGAACAATCTTCTATAGATCATTTAAACAGCCGAGGAAAATCTTGAGTTCCATTTGATGTTGGGATATTTCTCAGTAGTCTCAAGACTAGTTACTTCAGTTCTCTCTCTCTCTCTCTCTCTCTCTCTCTCTCTCTCTCTCACACACACACACACACATTCTTTCACATCTTCAGAAATCATCTTTGAGACTCAGAATAGATGGAAAGATTAATTTCACAATCTTTCACACATAAGAGAACCTGTCAAAGGTACTACTTAAATTTTCATTCTCCCAAATCGACAAAAATGGTTTAAAAAAAATACTCCAGAGATACGTCTGTGGTTGTTTTATACTCTATTTTCTCATGAGTACAAAGCCAAAATATTTAGTATAGTTTACCTTCAACTGAAAAATGGATCAATTTGAATGTGAAATTAACTCTCTCCAGATGTGAAAACACACACACACACACACACACAAATATATTAAACCTGTCCACAAACACATGAATGCACACACATATGAACATAAGAAAAAAAAAGGTATATCTCACATACATGCAAGACTTAGTTTTGCCTTGTCATGTTTATATAATAATGGTAATACTACTACTAAAGGAAATTGTGCAGGTGTTCGCTAATATGGTGCTGCACGTATGCCTGCTTCTCTATGGTCCCCTGGCTATTAAGAGCCAAACAGAAATCTGACCACAGCGCATCTCTTCGGACCGGGAGCGAGAGCGAGTGACATTTTAGAAGTGAGCAGGAATGTGGGCTTCCCTCAGAGGGCGACATGCTGTCTTCCCATCTGCAGGAAAGCTCTATTCTAAAAAATCTCAGATTCTCCAGGCTGGTCTAGGAAGCCTTGTGGCTTTTTCCAAGTCAAATGGGGGCGAACGCGAGCGCGCGCGGGGCGGGGGGGCGGTATTCCAAGGAAAACACCCAGGGAAGAGAAGAAACGAAGAACCCCAAGTAGCAGCCCTCCCTTGCTCCCAGCATCCGCTAGCCGCAGCCGGGAGCCGCGGGGAGCCGGGTGGTGCTGTCCGCGGTGCTGAACGTCCCACCGCGCCCACTCACCGGCCAGCACCGCGGCTCCCAGGAGGCAGAGAAGCGCTGCGGGCTGCATGGCCCGGATCGGCTGCACCAGCGAGGCGGATGCAGGAGGAAGGCGAGGCGGAGGTGCTTCGGGAAGACAGCGTGCGTCCTGGTCCCCGCGGTGTGGCGCGCTTGGCGCAGGCCTCACTCTTTTAAAGGGCAGGCGGGGGCGCGAGGCCTGGAGGGCCGAGCAGCCGGGAGGAGGCGCCCCTCGCTCGGCCCTGACGTCACCAAACAGCCCCCGGGGCGCGGCGCGCGTGGGCGGAAATTTACGCCACTTCTGGCGCCAGGGCGCGCAGGGTCTGGAGAGCAGGTGGGCAGAAAGCGCAGGAAGCGGCGTCCAGGGGGCTGGGAGGAAGCGCAGGCCTGAGGCAGGGAGAGAGGAGGGAGGCCCCCTTCATTTGCCCAAGCTAGTCTCCATCTTCCCCGACTCCGCACTCGCCTTCAAGTATAAAAACATGTTTGAGGCCGTATGCAGACGCGAGCGGTTCTGCTGAGCGTGCGCACGGCTAGGTCTGCTTTGTGTTTCCTCTACCAGCTGAGCAAAAGATTCCTACTGACGAGAGAGCAGTAAACAGTTGATTAAGAACAATGAAAAAAAGAACGATGATCCTCAAAATTCTCCAGTGCAGCCCAAGAATATGGGACTTGCTGTTTCTGCTCTTAGTCTTTGTAGCTCTCTACCGATCCATGCTTCCATCCTTCCACCATTCGTACCCCCACGCAGAACTTTATTCAAGTGGGTTTAAGTAGTTGGTACAAAAAGATGTATTATAAATGTCTTCTATCTCCACATTTCAGGTTTCCCCCATCCATTCTGCAGAATCAGGAGTCATAACCACTATCTGTGGCTTAGGCTTAGTTTACTCTGCAATCCACACAGCTGCATCTTCTTTTGCATAGCTGCCCGGTGTCACATTGAATGAGGTGAGCCAGTCCTTTTTCTGATGGGCGCTCATGGAGGTTGTTGCACTCTGGCTCTTAACCACTCCTTTACAGACAGAGGCAATGTCCCAGGTGGGTAATGGAATTATCTGCTTGTAGGAATTACTGCGGTGCGTCCTCTTTGGCTTTCACAGTGAGAAAGGAAAGCATGCTGCTCTGTGTGCGAGGCAGGGAGAAACATCCTTCACAGCATTTTTGACATGAGTTTCCTTAGCCTAATGAGGAATCAGGAAAAAGCATCAGGCAAGTGCCCCGCTCAGAACAGAACTTCATCTGATAACACCAACACTGGGAGACCGAAGGAGGCTTCGCTTGGGGCTCTTCGCTCAGAGAGTGAAGATGTCTATAAGCACAATTCAAATGAGGTTTCGGATTCCTTTTCTTGAAAATTAATGTGGCTCAAATGTTCTGCCTGTGAGTGAATGGCTACATCTTCTTTAAAAGGCTAGATTTTGTTTCACCCAAATGAAAGTCACAGAATTTTAAATGAACAGTATTTAAAATGATTTTTGTGGGACAACTAGTAAAATTGGAATAAGATGTATGGATTACATAATCATATTGTGCTAATGTTGATTTGCTGATTTTGAGAATTAGAAAGAATGTCCTTGCTGTCATAAACACACATCAAGGTCTCTAGAGGCAAATATATACCACTTAGGGCTGGTCAAATAGCTCAGTCGATTAAAGCGCCTGTAAGCAGGTGCAGGATCTAGGGGTTCGATCCCTGAGCCTGCCATGCCAGCCCTGCCCCCGGGGCGCACTGAGACAGCAACTGAGACTGGGTGCAGTGGCACACGCCTGTAATAGCAGCACTTGGAACGCTATAAACAGGCGGATCACTATGAGTCCTAAAAATACAGAAAAAGAAATATGTACCACTTACTTTCAAATGGCTCTTAGAAAATATATCTAGAGACAGTGCTAAGGCAGGTGGGGGAAAATGTTACTATTTGGACAATACTGGAATAAATAGCATATGGAAACTTTGTACCATTTTTGCATTTTTCCTGATATCTGAAATTTTTTCAAATCAAACAAAGTAGTATTTTTAGCACACAAAAAATTTGCTTAAAAACTCTAGAGCAGGGCCAAGGAGATAGCTCAATAGAATAAGCACTTGCCTGGCAAGCACAAGGTCCTGAGTTCAATCCCCAGTACCCCTGCAAAAAATTTAAAAAATAAAAATAAATGCTATATAACCTGAAATTATTTGGGGCCAGCCAGATAGCTCAGCAGACTAAAGTACCTGCTTAGGCAGAGCTCAGTGCCTGGGGTTTGATTCTCAGCTTGCCATGCTGTTCCCACCTGTGGGGACTTGCTGAGAAGGTGACTGAGACTGGGTGTGGTGATGTATGCCTTTAATCCCAGAGCGTGGGAGGCTAAAAACAGGAGTCTTATCTACAAAGTGAGACCCTGTAGACCCTGTACTAAATACATTAAAAATAATAATAATAATGAATAAAACCCCTCTAGAACAAAAAGCTGTCCCGAGGGGCCCTCCCTTGATGCAATTCTGACAGGTTCTTCCTCAGCTGTTAAAAGTTTGGTAAGGGTTCCAACCACTCTTTGCAGGTACTGGTTGCCAGTGCTTCCTTCCTAGTCCAAATCTCACCTTAAAAGGTTATTTAAAATGGCCACTGCCCTCAGGCATCTGCATCCCACTTCTCCCTGTGCTTTACCTGGCTTCTCCTTTTTTTTTTCCTTGGTGGAATCCGGGATTGAACTCAGGCCATTGCGCTTGCTCTTCTTCTTTGGAAAATGGGGTTAAACAGTGCTAACAGGGTCCGGAGGCTTCACAGCCTGAGCTGGCGGAGCCATTCATGCATTAAGACCAGTCGGGAAGTAGGAAAGATCTTTTGATTGTTGCTGTTGGATGGGCGGAGGGAACAAAAAAGGCACCCTGGGCCTGCAGCCAGTTCCCACATTTAGGCTCAACTTTTCTGTTTTTAAATTTTCATTTTTTATAAACTTTCTGTGATTTTTGCCTTTCGCATTTAAATCTTAAAAACAAAACAAAACAAAACAAAACAAAAACTACTACTCACTATGTAGCTCAGGCTGGCCTCAAACTCACAGCAATCCTCTTGCCTTAGTGTCTCAAATGCTAGGTTTACAAGCATGCACTACACACTCAGTATTTAAAATCTTTTTGCACCAAGCAAACAAACAAGCAAAAAGATGGCTGCAGGGGGAGAATTTTTCAGGAATTCTTTTAGAGCAGGATGAAGAAGGAAAATCAGTGTTTTTCTTAGGACCCAGAGCTCAGGATGAAGATGGGGTGAGATGCAGTACAGCCACAGTCTTCACCAGTTGTCCTGGGAAGTTTTGATTGAAGTGACCATCTTTCTCTTTCTGTCCTTTAATATTACTTTGAACAAAACCCAGAAAGCACAGTTGCCCAGTGACACACGACAGAGTGTGGTGGGCCGGAAAGCAAACAGACAAAGGAATTGTGTATAGGTCAAGCCCCCCAGCGGTCCAGTCAGCAAGCTTGTGTTTTCTCTCATAATTCCCTACTTGACTTCATGTTGCTTTTAGGAACGGTGACGATGTGCCCACGCACATGGGAGGTCACACGATGCTCTTCTGTGATGCAATACTTCCGCCAGTGCAGCTCCCTGGGAACATCTTCATTCCTGGATCCCTCGAGTTGAAGGAAAGCAAGCTACATTGTACTTTCTTTACACATTTGCACAAGGCCTGGCCCTAGGACAAAAGTTATTCTTGCTCTCTCAGTGGCACTTCACAGAGGCAAGACAGAAAGATGCTGGAGCCCACTAGAAGGCCAAGTACTCATTTGCTCATCTTAGTCATTCCCCACACTTCTTTACTTGAATGTCTGTTTCTGGAATTGCTGGTAGAAAGGCTCGACTAACACGGCTGAGGATAGCCGGTCTCCTTTGACTTCAGGATTTAGTCTGGAGAGCAATGCCACACACGCACCTACTTGGAAGTGTGGGTTCAGAGAAGTCTGTTAGGATGGCCCAGAGTGAGTGCAGAGCCTGAGATGCTGTTCCAGGGTCAGCAGGGAAGACTGGAGAACACATGCTTGGAAGTCAGTCAGGAAAGGAGAACTGAACCTGTTTCCTGAGTCTGCCTACCAACTTGGGCACGTGTAGGAGGCTGTGTATACAATGGGCACGTGTAGGATGATGTATCTGTAATATTGTGTTATGGTTTGTGTCTAGTTGTCCCCCCAAAGCTTCATGCAGTCACTGGGGCAGCTTCTAGAGTTTGTGATTAATTCGTGATCTAGTGCTGGGATTATGGCTGTGAGTGCTACATCCGTCCTGGGGCAGATAACCTGAATACAATATGAGGGAAGGAGAGAGGCTTGCTAGCCGCTGCAGCCACTGCTCCTGTCTTTGCTCTTTGCTGTTTTCTGCCACCATGAACAGCTGCCCTCTGCCATGTGCCTCTCAGCCTTGGAGCCAGCCGAGTATGGACTGAAACCTCTAATAACTGTGAGCTAATTAAAGCCTTTCTTCCTTAATCTTGGGTGTTGGGCATTTTGTCCCAGGAATGAGAGAAAAAAATAACTGAGAAATATAGGATTGAGAAATGTTTGCATCTTTTTATGCATATTGGTGCTTCAGTGGACGATGTAATGTTCTGATTGGTCCCAGAAAGAACCTCCCAAAGAAAAAGTAATGGCTTCAGATCAATGAGAAAAATCAGTCTCTTGAATGGGGCTAAAGATCAGGGTGGCTGTAGGGTTCCCCCAAGCCCTGGAGCAGAAGGGGGCAGGGTGGGGAGTGGTTGAGAAGTCTGGCTGTGGTTCCAGAGATGATGCCCATCGGTCTCCAGTGCTGGGCTGAGCAGGGAGCAGCTGAGAAGTCAGGCCTTCATCCCATTCTGATGTCCGCAGCAGCATCTGCCCTCGTCTCTGCTGTCTTGATCACCCAGAGCTTCTCTCCAACCTCGCATAAAGCCTTTGCTGCTTGGCACTCTGCCTAGGGATTTTTGAAGTGTGGCCTCATTCCAGTCTAGGTATTAAATATGTGTTATTTCCTGCACTCAGCCAGAGTCATGCTCTGCAATCTTGCCACTTTGAAGATGAGACTAATAAGTGAGACTCCAGAAGCCGTGAGGTCTCCCTCGCCGCCTTTGCCCGCGAAATTTCCTCCGTTTTCTCTGCACTCCTCCTCAGGAGTCAGTGTAAGCTGCTTCTGCCTCTGGTTTTGAGCAGTTTGGCTGGCTTTGTTCCATGAGGAGCCGTTCTTCTGCTGATGGAGAAGTTTTAATTATTTATGGTGAGCATTAGAGCATCCTCACTCCCAGGCAGACTACTCCTCGACCAAAATGTGTTCTCTAAATGTAGACTCCAGGAAAAATTCATGCACGCTAATTTCAGTTTTACACCTATGAATATTTTATTTCCCAATAACTCATAATGGTCCTTGAGGAGCCATTACTATTAAGTAAATGTGGGTAATCTGAAGCTTCCCACGATGGGATGCCTGCAATTTTGTTCTGGATAACAAAGATGCAGATGGATAGTGGGTCTCTTCTCATAATTTTATTGAAGAGTTGCTCTCCCTCTTTCTCTCTCCCCTAACTGCATTTGCTCTCTTTTACATTCATTCATAAATCTCAGGAAAGGGCACCAAAACTTTTACATTGCCATACAAATGTGATACTGGTGCTAGGGAGACAGCTCAGTGGCACAAATGCCTGCCTGGTAAGTGCAAGGTCCTGAGTTCAATTCCCAGCACCAAAAACCAATAAATGTGATAATACTTGGAGCTATAAATTACTAAGGCATGCGGCAATCTCAGCTAGATCTTTTTGTCTTTTAGAAGACATATTGTGAGGTATAA